GAAGAGGTATCGGGAACCTTTATAGCAGGGTGACCTGGGAGAAGAGCAGATGGAGGCGGATTCTAGTGAAGGCCAAAGCTTACCTTTGCAGGGCGAGCGTGTATGGCGGCGGCAACTCGATCGAAAGAGAGAACCTTCCTCCACTTCCGGTTCCAGGCTTTCCTCTATCCCCCGTCCTCCCGCCTTCTTGGAAGTCAGAGCGCAGGCGCAGGGTGCGGGAAGAAGGACCTTCGGCAGTTCTATAGTTCCGTGCGCTCCGGGGTTGCCTTTGGAGAATGCCAGTCAGGAAAAAGAAAACCAAGCCACTTCTAACTCTTCCGCTACTGTCAGTAAGACATAAAAGTAACGTTGTTTCCTACTCTTATCTTCCTTCACTTTTGTAGTTTTCTCCATGATCTTTACGTCATCCTTTAGGTTTTCGCCACTCAGGTTTTCTCTCTAGACAGCTCTCCGTGAACGCGCGAAAAAGAAGCGCGAGGGGGCGGGGGGAGCCTGCGCGTTCCCACGGGGTCCTTGGCGCGGTAGTCAAGGTGACCTCCGGTCTAACCGGCTTGTTCTAAGTTAAATCTTGCTCTCTCCGAAATCTGTAGTGAACTGTGTTCAGGAGTCTTGCCTCTCCCCTTTCCCAGAGATGGCGACTGTGCGCAGTAACTGCCCAAAATGTCTTTGGCCCATGTAGCTTGGGATTCTTGGGTTGGTGGGTCAGGATTGTCAGAAAAGTGTTCTGAATCCCCAGAGTAGAAACAGGGGTCTAGGTTCATCTCCAAGTTTCAAAAATAAATGGTAGGACTCGAGAGCTACACAACTTTCTACAAATAGTATTTGATGGCAATCCGCTGTGTTCTCATAACTTAATGCTGCTCCCTTACCCTATTGATTCCTCCCCCTGCCTGAAAAATCTCCCACAATCTTATCCCTGTCCTTGAATTATTCCCAGCAAAACTTCACCCTCGACCTTATCTGAAAGTGCACCATCTGTCACAACTACAAAGACATTCAAAAGAAACTGCACACTCAAAATGTGTAAAAACCTCCCCCTCCCTCTTGTTTCTCTGACCCAGCTCCCTGTTACATGGAGTCCCTCTGCAGCAATGATTAAAACCTATTCTGGTCTGTTGAGGTCTCTGCCTTCTTTCTCTCCTTTCCTCCACTTGATCTTTCCTAACAGTATTAGGGCTTAAAATGTTCTTAATCCCATTCCAACCACCCCATTGTTTCTGCTTGGGTTTTTGTGTTTGTTTTGTCTCCCCCCCTCCGCCCCCAATGAAACATTCTTTTGGAGCTGCTGTGGAAGCTGGATGTGATGTTTTGTTGCTTATTTTATTTTTTTAACCTTTCACTGTTACATATATATATATATGTATATATATATATATACGTATGTATATATATATATACATACATATAATTATCTTTAAGTAGTTGTACAAAGAAGTTCCCATTCTACAAAACAGTATATGAGTACAAAGTATCTGACAACATTATCACCCATCTCTCTTAACCCATCCCTTCTCTCACTTTTTTTCTTTAATTGAGATTAGGTGATCACACAAATTTCACATATTTCACAGTATTGTGGTATAGTGATACTTAGAGTCACAAACACATTTTAACTTTCACAAGGCAAATTGTCATTATCATGGTCTATACAGTTTGTGAATTCTACAGTTTGTGAATTCTATGAGCTTTGACAATACAAGTTATTTTTTCCACATCAGGTGATGTTTCCATTTCTTTCCTTTTTTTTTTTTTTTTGGGTCCGGTCATGGAGTCTGAACTCTGGGCCTGGGCGCTGTCCCTCAGCTCTTCAGCTCAAGGCTAGCGCTCTACCACTTGAGCCACAGCGCCACTTCCGGCTTTTTTCTTTTTGCTTATGTGGTGCTGAGGAATCGAACCCAGAGCCTCATGCATGCAAGGCAAGCACTCTACCACTGAGCCATCTTCCCAGCCCTCTTTCCTTTTTTTTAGTGTAGGCTGTTCCCACTTATTCTGTTCCTCCTCCTGGCTTCCCTCTGTTATGTGCATATATCTACCATATATATGGTCAAGAACATGGAGTCATTTAGCAATGATACGACAAAATGGGTGGTTGTCCTTTGTTTCTTTTTTTTGGGTCCGGTTGTGGGGCCTGAATTCTGGGTCTGGGCGCTGTCCCTCAGCTGTTCAGCTCAAGGCTAGCGCTCTACCACTTGAGCCACAGCGCCACTTCTGGCTTTTTTCTTTTTGCTTATGTGGTGCTGAGGAATCGAACCCAGGGCCTCACGCATGCAAGGCAAGCACTCTACCACTGAGCCACCTTCGCAGCCCCTGTCCTTTGTTTCTTGAGTCCTGTTACTTTGCCATATCTTCTTGTATTTTGGCTTTAGCATCCACATATCAGGGAGACCATGTGCCATTTGTCTCTTTGTTTTTGGCTTACTTTACTCAAAATAATCTGCTCTAGTTCCATCCATTTTCCTGTAAATGCCATTATTTTGTCCTTTCTAATGGCTGTATAATATTCCATTGTATATAAGGTGCCACAATTTTTGGATCCACTCAGTAGTGAGGCATCTGGGTTGTTTCCAAATCTTTGCTATTGTGAACAGTGCTGTAATAAACATGGAGGTGCATGTGTGTTTGTATATTGGTTCCTGTTGCTCAGGGTAGAGATGACTAGGAGTGGTATGGCTGGGTCATAGGAGAGGTCTACATTTAGCTTTCTGAGTATCTCCAGACTGTTTTCCAAAGTGGTTGTTATTAGTATATATTCCCACCAGCAATGCAGGAGGGTTCGTCTTTCTCTGCATCCCCTCCAGCATTTGTTGTTGGCTGACTTTAGGATGTGAGCCATTCTGACTGGGGTAAGGTGGTATGTCAATGTTGTTTTTATTTGCATTTTCTTTACATATTGCTTATTTTTTTATTTATTATTATTATTTTTTTTTTTTTGGTCGGCCGTGGGGCTTGAATCTAGGCCTGGGTGCTGTCCCTCAGCTCTTCAGCTCAAGGCGAGCGCTCTACCACTTGAGCTACAGCGCCACTTCCGGTTTTCTGGTGGTTTATTGGAGATAGGAGTCTCACGGTCTCTCCTGCCCGGGTTGGCTTTGAACCGCGATCCTCAGATCTCAGCCTCCTGAGTAGCTAGGATTACAGGCGTGAGCCACCAGCGCCCGGCTCATATTGTTTAAAGTGGCAAGTGTTTAATGCCTTCTTGTTAGTACATTTAGCCATTTAACACTAAGAAGGTACCATTCATATATATATATATATATTTTTTTTTTTTTTTTTTTTTTTTTTTTTTTTGTCGGTCATGGGGCTTGAACTCTGGGCTTGGGTGCTATCCCTGCGTACTCTTCAGCTCAAAGCGAGTGCTCCAGAGCTTGAGCCACAGCACCACTTCTGGTTTTCTGGTAGTTAATTGGAGATAAGAGTCTCACGGACTTTTCTGCCCGGGCTGTCTTTGAACCAAAATCCTCAGATCTCAGCCTCCTCAGTAGCTAGGATTACAGGTGTGAGCCACTGGTGCCCCGCTTTGTATTTTTTTTTTTTTTAATCTTTGGGTTTCAGTTCAACGAATCAGTTTATAATACATTTTGATCTATGTCACCCCTTCCATGATTCTCCCCTATCTTCCCAATCCCACCCATAACCTTTCATTTATATTTTATAGAGTAGCAGACACACTTAGAAAAATAAAACATATCCAGAGCAAACAGTGACAGCCAGGTTGTCAACATCTAGTTATCTTTGTATCTTGCCTCTCTCTTCAATCTCATTAATCAGTCTGTGAAAAGCAAGCTTGCCTTCTGTAGTAAAGAAAAGTAACTGATCTGCTGGACACCAGTGGCTCATGCCGGTAATCATAGCTACTCAAAATCACAGTTCAAAGTCAGCCTGGGTAGGAAAGTCTATGAGACTTGTCTCCAACTAAGCACCAAAAAGCCAGAGTGGAGCTGTGGCTCAAGTAGTAGAGTACTAGCCTTAAGCACAAAAGCTCAGGGACAGTGTCCCAGACACTGGCAGAAAGGAAGAAAGGAAGAAAGGAAGGAAGAAAGAAAGATGAAAAATAATGGATTCAAGGAATGTATCCAGCCGGGCTCATGCCTGTAATCCTAGCTACTCAGGAGGCTGAGATCTGAGGATCTCGGTTCAAAGCCAGCCCAGGCAAGAAAGTCCGTAAGACTCTTTTTTTTTTTTTTTTTTGGTCCAGTCGTGGGGCCTGAACTCTGGGCCTGGGCACTGTCCCTCAGCTCTTCAGCTCAAGGCTAGTGCTCTACCACTTGAGCCACAGCGCCACTTCTGGCTTTTTTTCTTTTTTGCTTATGTGGTGCTGAGGAATCAAACCCAGGGCCTCATGCATGCAAGGCAAGCGCTCTACCACTGAGCTACCTTCCCAGCCCAGAAAGTCCGTAAGACTCTTATCTCCAATAAACCACTAGAAAACCAGAAGTGGTGCTGTAGCTCAAGCAGTAGAGCGCTTGCCTTGAGCAGAAGAGCGCAGGGACAGCGCCCAGGCCCAGAGTTCAAGGCCCATGACTGACCAAAAAAAAAGGAACGTATCATAGAAGAGCAATTTTCCCAGCCTTAAGTGTCATTTAACTTATTCTACAGTGTTTACCAGTTCTCTAACCTGTGCCAAATGCTATCCTAGGATCTGGGGACACAATGAATGACCCTGTCTTTGCAGAGGCTACATAAGGGGATACATGTAAACATAATGTAAAGCCCCCAAACAAAACAAGGTAATGGTACAAAAGAGTGGTTCTACACACTAGCTTTCCTCTTACAGCTGCTGTCTGTACTCCTCAGGTTTCCAAAAGAGGAACTATATATTTCTCATTTGAGAGAAACAATAGAGTACTATTTGCTTTTGTTTCTCCAACAAGTTTCAAAGGACAGGCTTTTGAGGTATCTGGAGAAAATGTAAGTGTGGAACAAGATAATGACTGCCATGAGAAATGATGACACAAAAGGCGGCTGTTTTAACTCACCAATTCATTTGTCCATAGTTATTTTATTGACATTTTCATTGTTACAAAGGGAAAGCAAGGCATTAAGGATATAGAAAGGAAGGTCATGCATATAGGGTACACCACATCATTTTAGATCTCAGGAATCAGTAAACATCTGTTGAGTCTTTGGGGAAATAGAAAAAGGAAGTATAGCCAATAAAGAGAAAGGACAGCCTAAGAAAGACAAAAAGATCCTGAGATGCTGTGTCTACCTGGAACCAAAATATTGAAGTTAAATGAGACTCTCCTTTCATCTTTTCAGGGATCTTAAGGTCTCTGGGGAAAGCAAGATGGTAAGAATACATTCTTTAGAGAAGTACCAGGATCACAGAATGAGTGGAATTAGAGAGCCACCAACAAACATCAGGAAGCAGAAATATTTAGCTTTTCACAGGTAAGCAGCAAGTGGTAACAATATCTTGGGGTCCATTTGTTAAATCATAACTAGTACCTACAAGGAACCATGATATTCTCTTAATGATTCCTAATCATCGCAGAAACCTCACAAGGTAGGTATTATTGTTGTTGTTGTTATTGTTACTCTTCCAGTTTTACAAAGGAAGACATTGTGGCTTCCAGGTTAAGTCATCTGTCTCAGTTGCACAGTCAGAATGGGACAGGATTTGGAGAGGAACCCAAATATGCTAGGCTCCGAAGTCAGGGTGTTTTCTACATCCATTACTTCCCTTATGTTCCAAATTACACAGAAGGGTTAGGTGAGGATGACTTGGGCATTTACAAGGTCTTAGTGTTTTAGAACACAAAGATTCATGTTTGAGAAGGTTATTTACAAGTCTCAAAGGAGAATATTAGATCCTGCCCCCTAGAATTTCCAGAAAGAATTATGGTGAAATATTATTTTTTTTTCTTTTTGGTACAGTGCTGGGGATTGAATCCAAGGCTTTGTGCATGCTAGACAAGGGAAGTGATATTTATTTGGGAGATTTCTTTGGGGAAAGGACTGTCAGGAGGAGTCAGACCCTATAAAGGGTCCTAGGCAAAGCTCTTAGGCGGTGATCCGGTAGTTGGGGTGGACCTGGGGCCTGACATCACAGACCATGCCAAGAAGCTGGGCCAGGACACGCTCCCGGTTTCTCTGCTGGGAGCTCTGCATGCCCTGTACCTGGCGCCTTGTAGCCTGCTCCACTTCAGCAGACAGGTTCCCTTGGGATCCCATGGCCTGAGGAGTAGGGAAAAGGGAAGGGGCAGAGGAGTAGAAATAGAGAAAGAAAGGTCCAAGCATGTGAAGAGAAAGGTCCTGTATAAGACCAAAAAGAGAAGCCTTTCCAAAACCATACCCATCCCACAGAAATACCCAGATATGAAAGGGATCAACACAACCCCTTACTCTCTAACACGTAAAATGAAGGATTATCCTAGGACTATAAAATCCCCACCATCAAACTCTAACCCATTTTTATATTACCTTTATAATAACAATAAGAAATTTAAAACAATCCCCACCATCTTCCCACCTATAAAACTCTTCCCTCTACCCTAAATACTATCATATTATGCCACAAAGACTGTGGTGGTTGCTTCTCCCTAAGGTGTAAATATCCTTAAAAAAAAAAAAAACAAAAACAAAAAACCAAAAACAAACCTCCCAGGGCTGGGAAGGTGGTTCAGTGGTACAGTGCTTGCCTTGCATGCATGAGGCCCTGGGTTCAATTCCTCAGCACCACATAAGCAGAAAAAGCCGGAAGTGGGGCTGTCTCAAGTGGTAGAGCACTTGCCTTGAGCTGAAGAGCTGAGGGACAGTGCCCAGGCCCAGAGTTCAGGCCGCATGACTAGCAAAACAAAACAAAACAAAAACTCCCAGACTCTAGCTTGGCAAGTGTGGCTCATGCCTGTCATTCTAGCTATTCAAGAGTCTGAGATCTGAAGATCCTGTTTTGAAGTCAGCCCAGATAGGAAAGTTTATGAGACACATCTCCAATTAACCAGCAAAAAGCCAGAAGTGGAGCCGTGGTTCAAGTAGTAGACCACTAGCTTTGAGAGAAAAAGGCAAAGGACAGCATTGGGCCCTCAGTTCAAACTCCCAGTACCAGCATTAAAAAAAATACCTCCTAGATTCTGTTACATATCATGTCAAGGCTTTATCAATGCTGTGGTTCTTACCAGGGTCTTCTCAGCCTCCTGCCAACATTGTTTCCTGGTGAGTCACCTGCACTCATCTCACTAGATGTACTCACCAACTTGCACCGGATGGATCCCATCTCAATTCCCTTTCAACTCACCGCCTGCTGCTTGCTCTGGAATTCCTGCTCCCGCTCTCTGCGGTATTGTTCTACCTCCATCTGTGCTTCCTCCTTAGCCTGCTTCAGTCTTCGAGCTTTTCCTGGAGGCAGAAGAAAGAACGGGTGGGAATGGATCCCCCACAAAAATGTGAAAGTTACTAAGCCTTCCCTTAGGTAGCAAAATACTAGAGTCTAACACCTCTCCATTTTTTCTCTACTATTCCATACTCCAGCCCCCAGGTCTCTTCGTCAGCCTTGGATTTTCCAAAAGACTCAAATATTTGTTAATCCCTCACCCCTAATTTTCTTTCCAGACTCTGAAGAGAGAAAAGGGGAGACTCACTCTTTCTGGCATCTGCCACCTTTTCAGCTGCCCTCTTCTCAGCTTGTAATAGCTGCTGGATACCCTGGGACTGACTGGCCATTTCTGTCGCTAGGAATGACGCTGTTTTGAAGGCAACCGAGGTACCAGATGGCTCCCACCTCCAATCGCCTAGTTCTCCTCCAGCTCGTTGATGCAGTCCTCCACCACTCCTGGGTCTTAGTGCTCCACTTTTCACTCAGCCTCCTCCACCCAGTGTCTCCCCCAATCTAATCCTCTACTGATGACTGGTCCTCATTCAAGCAGTACCCAAAAGGGCCACCTGGGAGCAGCAGAGACCGGGCCCTGAGCTGATGGCAAATTTCGGACTGCTACAGGGCCTTCCCATCCACTAAGGTCTAAAGATGGGGTTGGGACAGAAAGGGGAGGAATATTTAAGTGGGAGGAGAGCTGGAATGGTGGTCCTCAAGGAGGCACAGAGCCAAAGAATGGGGTGAGAAGACTATCCTACCACGAGTTAGGCTTAATTCTCCCAAGTCGCTTTTCTGCCTCCATCTTCTTCTACATTTCCCCAGTCCAACTTTCTTCTTGTCCTAATATTTTATTTGATTTTGGCGGTACTAGGGCTTCAACAAAGGACCTTGAGCTTGCTGGGCAAGTGCTCTTCTATTTGAGCCACACCACCAGCCCTCTTAATGCCTTTTCGTGTGTGTGTGTGTGTGTGTGTGTGTGTGTATGTCTTAATCTATCCCTATTTGCCTTCATTGTGGTTGGGTTTTTCACTTCCACAGTGATTTTTATCCTGTTTTTATCTCCTCAGTTTTCCTCTATTTTTTCATCTTTCCACCAATCACTGCGCCTTCCACTCTGTGCGCCCCAGTAACCCTCCTTTCTCCTTGCCCTGGCATCTCATCCCATCTTCCGCTTTCAGGTGGACCCTTTGTCATAAATTCCCTAGTTTCCCCGCCGGAGCCCTAACGAAGAAACCACCCGGTCGGGGATGAGTGATATCCCTTGCGCTTCAAAGCTTATTTCCGCCCCAAACTTGCGTCTCCGCTTGCGTCATTTCCGCCAACCTGGAGTATCTCCGCCCTTCCCGCCTCCCTTCTCGGAGCGTCTTAAGCACAGGCTTCTGGCCTACGGCTCTGGGGGCACTTGGGGGGCGGGGGACAGGTCTGATGAGTAACCCCTCCCCCCAGGTCTTAGAGGGAGAAGCCTCTACATCTGTCTGCCGGGTACATTATATTAAAATTTCTAGATCATTATTTGAAACTGTGACTTAAGTTCAGATTCTGGCTGGTTAAAAATTTCCCCACCAGGTCCTATTCTTTTTTTTCTCCCTCTCCCCAAAGTTTATTTTTAAAAATGTACCTGGGCTCTTGAGCTTTTAAGTAACTTACATATCTTTGTAATCAGAATTTACATAAAAAATTAATATGTGCCCCAGCCCCACTCAAATTTTTCTCTCAGACCTATCATCTGGTCAGGGAGGAGGTTTAGGCCTCCTCTTTGCTAGAGATGTGAGAAGAAACAAGGAGATATTTGAGAGACAGGAAGGAATGTCGGAAATGGAGCGGGAGGGACAAGCCAAAATCTGCCCTGATTGCAGCCTTTACTTTTTCCTTTTTCCTCAGCCCAAGAGTTCCATGGCCTCCGCATCCCGCCGCCAACGCCGAGAGCGTCGCTTCCGTCGTTACTTGTCTGCAGGACGGCTGGTGCGGGCCCAGGCCCTCCTCCAGCGACACCCAGGCCTTGATGTGGATGCTGGGCAGCCCCCACCACTGCACCGGGCCTGTGCCCGCCATGATGCCCCTGCCCTGTGCCTGCTGCTTCGCCTCGGGGCTGACCCTGCCCACCAGGACCGCCATGGGGACACTGCGCTGCATGCTGCTGCCCGCCAGGGCCCTGATGGTGAGTCTGCCAGCCAGAGAGACAGTCATGAGCAACTGATCAAATTTGTAGTGAAAGCCAATTTATTGTTGAGAAATAAGCTAGTTATTTGGTCAGTGGGGCCTAGGAAGGTAGTTGACCAAGTTGGCATGTGGCAATCACAAGGTGCCTTGACATTACTGAAATACCATTGTCTGAGAAGCCCAGTAGTATTCCCTTGTGTGGATTCTCTCCTGCGTGCTTGTGTGTGTGTGTGTGTGTGTGTGTGTGTGTGTGTGTGTGTGTGTGTGTGTGTGTGTGTGTGTGTGTGTGTGTGTGTGGTGTGACAAGATCTTGCTAGGCCAGAGTAGCCACAGCCTGGTGACCTGGTGATCCTCCTGTCTCAGCTCCTGTGGGCAGGGAACACATGCACATACTACCACACCTGGATCAGCTAGTCTTTAAATTTGCTTGTCTGCCTGCTTGCCTGGTTTTCCTTCCTTCCTTCCTTCCTTCCTTCCTTCCTTCCTTCCTTCCTTCCTTCCTTCCTTCCTTCCTTCCTTCCTTCCTTCTTTCCTTCCTTCCTTCCACTTTTCCTTTCTTCTTTCTTTTTTCTTTTTTTTTGGTCGGTTGTGGGGCTTGAACTCTGGGCCTAGGTCCCTCAGCTCTTCAGCTCAAGGTGAGCACTCTACCATTTGAGCCAAGGGCCACTTCCAGTTTCTGCGTGGTTTATTGGAGATAAGAGTCTCACAGACTTTTCTGCCCGGGCTGGCTTTGAACCATGATCCTTAGATCTCACTCTCCTAAGTAGCTAGGATTACATGTGTGAGCTACCAGCGCCCAGCTTTTCTTTCTTTCTTTCTTTATATATATTTTTTTATTGTAAAGATACTGTACAGAGGGGGTTACAGTTACATGAATAAGGTAATAAGTACATTTCCTACCATCTCTTCCCCCCCACCTCCCCAACTCCTCCTTCCTTTTCTTTCCCTTTCCCTTTCCGTTCCCTTTCTCTTCCTTCCTTCCTTCCTTCTTCTTTCTCTTTCTGTTACTCTCTTACTCTCTTTCCTTTTCTTTTCTTTTTTTTTTTTTGTGCTTGTAGTAGGACTTAAACTCAGGGCCTGAGCATTGTTCCTTAGATTTTTTTTTGCTCAAGACCGGTCGGTCGGTGCTCTATTACTTGAGGCACACCCCTACTTCCATCTATTTGGTAGAGATAAGAGTTTCATAGACTTTCCTACCTGGGTTGGCTTCAAACACAACCCTCAGATCTCAGATTCCTGAGTAGCTAGGACTATAGGTGTGAGCCACCAGCAGCCCATCTCAGACACTTTTTTTTTTTTGTTAGTCCTGGAGCTTGAACTCAGAGCCTGGGCACTGTCCCTGAGCTTCTTTTGCTCAAGGCTAGCAGTCTACCACTTGAGCCACAGTGCCACTTCTAGCCTTTTCTGTGTGTGTGGTACTGATGACTTCATGAACCCAGGGCTTCATGCACGCTAGGCAAGCACTCTACCACTGAGCCACACCCCCAGCCCTCGGATGCTTCTTACAAAGTAACTCATTGAACCCTTACAGCAACCCTTAACAGGTTTTTCTGGATAAGAGAACTAGGCAGGGCTGGGAATGTGGCTTAGTGGTAGAGTGCTTGCCTAGTATGCATGAAGCCCTAGGTTTGATTCCTCAGTACCACATAAACAGAAAAAGCTGGAAGTGGCTCTGTGGCTGGTGGTAGAGTGCTAGCCTTGAACACAGAGAGGCTCCGGGACAGTGCCCAGGCCCTGAGTTAAGCTCCAGAACTGGAAAAAAAAAAAAAAAGAGAGAGAGAGAGAGAGAAAGAACTAGGCACAGAGAAGTTAAGTCATTTGTCAAAGTTATACAACAGAGATTATAATCAAGGCAACCTGAAAACCTAGACTATCTATGCTTCTAAGAACTCCTGGGTTATATGTTATAGGATTTCACAGTGTCTGTGCCTACATTTAAAATATCCCTAATAAATTTGGTTTGTGTGTGTGTGTGCGTGTGAATCCTGGGGCTTGAACTCAAGGTCTGGGCACTGACCCTGAGCTTTTTGCACTCTATCCCTTGAGTCATCGTGCCACTTCTAACTTTTTCTATTTATGTGGTACTGAGGAATTGAACCCAGGGCTTCATGCATGCTAGACAAGTACTGTACCACTAAGCCATATTCCCAGCCTCCAAAACTTTTTTTTTTTTGGGGGGGGGGTCCGGCTGTGGAGCCTGAACTCTGGGCCTGGGCGCTGTCCCTCAGCTCTTCAGCTCAAGGCTAGCGCTCTACCACTTGAGCCACAGCACCACTTCCGGCTTTTTTTCTTTTTGCTTATGTGGTGCTGAGGAATCGAACCCAAGGCCTCATGCATGCAAGGCAAGTGCTCTACCACTGAGCCACCTTCCCAGCCCAAGGAGTACATTTCTTATCAAGCATTGTTGCCTCCTTTGTTTTTCCCCTACCATCCCTTCCCTCCTACCTCCACAACTACATTCCCCTCCACGCCCCCACCCTCCCCCCAGTTCGATTTTCTTTTTAATTTTAAAAGCAAAAGAAGTTTGCGAAGTACAAGTATCTGTCTGGCTGATCAGAGGACCCTAAACCAGTTCCCAGCTATGACATGAACAGGTCAGGAACCTGTAACTTGCTTCTCTGAAACTGGTATTTTGGCAAGTAAATAAACCAAACTTTTGCAGTGGTTTAATACTCACAAAATGATAACTATATTATTTTTATTTTTATATTGCTCAAGTGAAACTTTTTTTTGGGGGGGGGGTCCGGTCGTGGGGCCTAAACTCTGGGCCTGGGCGCTGTCCCTCAGCTCTTCAGCTTAAGGCTAGCACTCTACCACTTGAGCCACAGTGCTACTTCCGGCTTTTTTTTTTTTTCCTGCTTATGTGGTGCTGAGGAATTGAACCCAGGGCCTCAAGCATGTAAGGCAAGCGCTGTACCACTGAGTCACCTTCCCAGCCCAAGTGAAACTTTTTTTTTGGGGGGGGGTCCAGTCGTGGGGCCTGAACTCTGGGCCTGGGCGCTGTCCCTCAGCTCTTTAGCTCAAGGCTAGTCCTCTACCACTTGAGCCACAGCACCACTTCCGGCTTTTTTTCTTTTTGCTTATGTGGTGCTGAGGAATCGAACCCAGGGCCTCATGCATGCAAGGCAAGCGCTCCACCACTGAGCCACCTTCCCAGCCCCCCAAGTGAAACTTTTTGAATCGTGAAAATGTCCCTGACAGTGTGGTAGGCAATTCTTTCATTGTATTGAATTCTAAGAAGTATATAAGACTGACATCTCATTTATAAGAAAGTAGAGCTAAGAAGTACTATGAAGCCTTACAGCTGAGAGATCATAGTCTTCCAAAGAGGCACCCTGGCTCAGTGCTTTCACTCTCCAAATCTTAAACTTCTTCAGGCTATATTTCTTCCTGATGACCTCCTAGCTCTGCCACCAGGTGGCTTTCTGTCTACTGGGTTAGGAGGCCCATCTCATTGAGCTGCCAGCTGCTTTAAAGTCAAATGAAAAGATTTTTTTTGAATAGACCCAGAATCCTCTGCCAGAAGTTTTCCCCATAATTCCCATGTTAGGTCTGAGGAATGTAGCAGTGCATGCTGGAGTGGAGACTTGTTATCTCAGCCAGTAAAATGCCAGTGAAGGGCTCTACCTTGTGGTTGTTGTTGTTGTTTTTGTGTGTGTGTTTTCTTTTTGGTGTACTGGTCTTAGGACATGAACTGATGACCTGGGCATTGTCCCTGAGTTTTTTTTGCTCAAGGGACAAAATTGGAGAGAAAGCCCTAGAGACTAGAATTTCTGCTTATTTTCTTCCGTCGTGTGTGTGTGTGTGTGTGTGTGTGTGTGTGCGCGCGTGTGTGTGTGCACGCGCGCGTGCGTGCATGTGTACGTGTGTGCACGCGTACGCATGTGCACATGTGTGTGCTGTTCTTGGGGCTTGAACTCAGGCCTGGATGTTATCCCTAAGCTTTTTGTTTCCTCAGTGCTATCAGTCTGCCACTTGAGCCACAGTTCTATTTCTGTTTTTTTTTGGTAATTAACTGGAGGTAAGAGTCTCATGAATTCCTGACCGGGCTGGCTTTGAACTGCGACCATCAGGTCTCAGCCCCTTGAGTAGCTAGGATTACAGGTGTAAACCACTGGCCCCTGGCTGGTCCTCTACACGTTTGGATTTTAGTGACTTTTTTTTTTGTGCTGGTCCTGGAATTTGAACTCAGGGCCTGGGCACTGTCCCTAAGCTTCTTTGGCTCAAGGCTAGCACTCTACACTTGAACCACAGTGCCACTTCTGGCTTTTTCTGAGTAGTTTATTGGAGATAAGAGTCTCATGGACTTTCCTGCCTAGGCTGGCTTCAAACTATCTTAGCCTCCTAAGTAGCTAGGATTACAGGCACAAACCACCAGCACTTGGCTTTTTAGAGACTTTAAAATCTGTCATCTCATGGGAAAGTATTCTTAGCTAAATAAGAACTCCCTAGTAAAACAATAACCATTCTCTACATACAACAAGAATTAGTGAACATTGAGAAGCAGGATTATTTTTTTCGTAGTCTTTGTAAAAAGAATAAAATCCCAGTGTCGGAGGCATGGCTCAGTTGGTAGAGTGCTACTGAAAGAGTAAAAGTGTCAGGTACCAAGTTTGAGTCCTTGTCTCAGGTCAAAAAAAAAAAAAGGAAAAAAATCTCGAACCAGCCTGGTTGGTTTGTGACAAGGTATAGCTCAGGCTGGCATGGAACTCCTGATCCTCCTGTCTCAGCCTCCTTGAGTGCCGGAATTACAGATATGTGCCACCACACCCAGCCCATTTACCACACTTCTGTTCTGTGCCAACACAGTACCAGACAGCTATTACCACAGCAGAAAGAAGAGGTGGCCTCGTTTTAAAATGACTGAGCATCCGGTGGATGTTCCATTTGCCTTTCCAGCCTCGGCTTCTGCCACACGCCCACGGACTCACCACTTTAGCTATGTGGTCCTGTCTTCAGTGACAAGCCTGCTTGTCTTTTGCCCATTGTCTTCCCTTC